ATCATTTTACTCAAAATGCACTCTGGTTACCATTGATCTTTCCTTGGGTGAATACTGTGGCTTTACAAAAATGTTTTCAATTCATCTTGACCTCTCTATGAACATAGAAGTAATCACTAGGGCATGATTGTCCCAATTTTCATTCTACTCCTTTTTCTTTTTTTTTTTTTAAAGATTTTATTTATTTATTTGAGAGAGAGAGAATGAGAGACAGAGAGTTTTTTTTTTTTTAGGGTCAGAGGGAGAAGCAGACTCCCTGCTGAGCAGGGAGCCCGATGTGGGACTCGATCCCGGGACTCCAGGATCATGACCTGAGCCGAAGGCAGTCGCTTAACCAACTGAGCCACCCAGGCGCCCCTCTACTCCTTTTTCTAATTCCTTTGGTTAGAGGTTGGGGTTCTAGTCCTTTTTTTGCCACTAAGACTGCTGTGATCTTGGACAAGCCTCTTGTGTCCTACAACTGATATGTGTGAAGCCACTCTGCACATTGCAAAGCATTTAAGATTTTATTTATTTATTTGAGAGAGAGAGAATGAGAGACAGAGAGCACGAGAGGGAAGAGGGTCAGAGGGAGAAGCAGACTCCCTGCTGAGCAGGGAGCCCGATGTGGGACTCGATCCCGGGACTCCGGGATCATGACCTGAGCTGAAGGCAGTTGCTTAACCAACTGAGCCACCCAGGCGCCCCGCAAAGCATTTAAAAATATGATTATTGAAGTAGATGATCTCTAAATTTCCCTCAAGGTCTAAAATTTTTAGTTTATGTTTTTGGTTATATTTTTAGGGAATTCATGTGATCCAAGAATTGCATTTTGGCACATTTTAGAAGATTCCTTCCATTACACCAAAGCTGTTGCTGATTCAATAAGTACAGAATGATATTTAATAGTAGCACCAAAAACAGGTAATTCTTCAGTTGCTGAAGTTGAAAATTACCAGAAATGATGCATGATTTTAAGGAAAAGGCTGAGTCATAGTCAACACCTAAAAACTTTATTTTCTATGTTAACCACCCCCTAACTTTTGCCCTTCTAAAATCTGACAAATTTAAATCTTTTTTTTGACAAATTTAAATCTTTTTTTAAAAGATTTTTTATTTTATTTTATTTATTTGATTTTTTTTGAGAGAGAGAGAGTACAAGAGGGAGTAGGGTAAGAGGGAGAAGCAGACTCCCTGCCGAGCAGGGAGCCCAATGCGGGACTCAATCCCAGGACTCCGGGATCATGACCTGAGCTGAAGGCAGTTGCTTAACCAACTGAGCCACCCAGGCTTTAAATCTTAAGATGGAAGCAACTGAAATCACATGGTATGCTACTCACACAGCACTTTTTTAAAAAAGATTTTTATTTATTTGACAGGGAGAGACACAGTGAGAGAAGGAACATAAGCAGGGGGAGTGGGAGAGGGAGAAGCAGGCTTCTCACGGAGCAGAGAGGCCGATGCGGGATTCCATCCCAGGACCCTGAGATCATTACCTGAGCCAAAGGCAGGCGCTTAATGACTGAGCCACCCAGGCGCCCCCTCATACAGCATTTTGGAGCATTTTGCTGGATATTGTCAGTGTTGGAATAGTAACTACAACAGGCAGGAAACAAATGAGGAGGCTCATCACATATACACATAAAATCATCATCAAGTCTCAGAGTTGGAAGGACTTCTAAAACTCATTTAGACTGGTGGGTCCCAGAGTGTTTGATTTCAAAAGCTTATAAAAGTTCAAAATAAACAGCAACAACAAAAGAGGAGGGCAAATGTAAAAATGTCAGTTTTTAACTTTGACAAATAAGGATACCGACAAAAGAACAAAACAACCATCTTCCATCAGCACCATTTTATAAAAAAAGTCACTTTAATGACATGTGTAGGACTCAGAATAAAGTACAATTTGAAATTAAATAAAAAAAGGGGCACTGGGGTGGCTCAGTTGTTAAGCATCTGCCTTCGCCTCAGGCCAGGTTCCTAGGGTTCTGGGATCGAGCCCCTCATCCAGCTCCCTGCTCATCTGGGAGCCTGCTTCTCCCTCTCTCTCTGCCCCTCCCTCTGCCCCCCCTTTGCTTGTACTCTCTGTCAAATAAATAAATAAAATCTCAAAAAAAAAAAGAGACCCCCCCATGAAGAAAAATGCATTATACTGCTCTTATTTTTCTAATATCTTTATGGAAAACTGTTAGACTTGCCCCTGTCCATACACAGACCTTTGGGAATCCCTAATCTAGTCCATTCCATGCACACCTCTACCCCCCACCCTATCCCATCTCCCACAATGCAGCAATTGTATCCTCAACACACCAAAAAATCCCTTTAAATGTATACCCCACCCACTGTGGGGAACTCCTGCAGCTGTGGAATCCATTAAATTTTGGAGTCTGTGGTAGAAAACCAGCAGAAGAGCTGCTATCTCTGGGAACTTCAAGATGCTTACACTTGGCTTTTTTTTTTTTTAAGATCAGAATCTAACTGCAGAGAATTTTAAGTAGGCCAAACGTGCCTTAGAGTCATTAAACGAAAATGTCTAATTGTGCTGATTTGGGAGTCAGGCAGCCTGGGTTTTGGTAGTGCATCAAAACTCCATTCTAAACCTTAGGGGGGATCTGTTTTCACATTCAACACATCTGGATTAGAGCTTCATGAATAGAAGTATTTAAGTCGGAATTAGAGTAACATGGAGGAATTTTAGTTAAGATTATCTTTTGGCCTGAACTCCATTACTAATTACTTGATCAGCTTTCAAAGTTGCAGTTAAGTCTACTTTTTTCCATTTCCATTTTAATGAAATTATTTTGAGAGATTCCGTTTAAATTTTTACAACTGAGGTTTGATTCATACTACAGATGATAGCATCAACTACAGAGCTTTCTTTTGTGATCCTTACTACCAAGCCGTTTCCTCGGGTCAAATTTTGTCAACTAAAATGTGGCCAAGATTTGTTTTTTTTAATAAATTTTTAGTAAAAAAAAATTACTGTATAAAGATTTACAACAACTTTAACGTTTACTGCTTTAAACGTTATCGATTTTATTTTGTAATAGTTATTTCCACCCTGTGTTTTTTGGGTCAGTACCGCAGTTTTCAACATGACCAAGACACGATTATGGAGGGTTTTTTGCGGGGGGCGGGGTGGCTGGAATAATAACTTCTATGGTGCAGTTTTTTCAGAGTTGTAAATTCTATTTTCTGTTGACTCATCTGCCACTAAAATTATGAATCGGGTATTAGGGTTTTTTCCCCTGGGGACCAAACGTGTCAGTGGAGCAACAACACAAAGGCATAAGATAATTCTGGTTTCCCTCTTTTCCCTGCCTGTAAAAGGAGATTCTCCAACACTCCATGGAGCGCAGAATCCTAATTCTTAAGACTTCATCAGTTACACTCTGCTAAAACCCGGAGCCCTGACCAAACCCAGCCCGCCCAAGGCTGCTTTTCTCCTCCTCTCCACCAGAGGCGATAGCCTCTCGCAAAACAGAATTGGGCTGGAACAGGCCGGTCTGAGGGAGTGGCCCAGGCAAAGATCAAAGGTTAAAAATCGCCTCAAATAAAGAGCAAAGGTCAAAACTCCTAAGGAAGCCAGAAGTTCCCATCCTCCACGAAGAATGAAGGTGACTCCTCCCTAACATACTCTCGGAGCCCGCAGCCGCGCGCCCTTCCAGAAACCAGGCGGGTCCGACATGACTAACAGGTAGCTTGATCGGAACAGCTAACAACCGGAAATGGAAGTGAGCCCCGGGCGGGGGTGAGGAGGGGCCACCGCACGCCTGCGCAATCAGCAGGGTTGCAGTACGCATGCGTGGTTGGGCGATGACGGGGTGACGCTCGGAGCGTGGGCCGCGACTCTCACGGATCCGGTTCCGCCCTCCCTCTCGTTGCCGACCCACCGGGGCTAGCGCCCGAGATCCCTTTCCCAGAGTGCTCTGCGCCGTGAAGAAGCGGCTCCCGGGGACTGGGGGCATTTTGTGTTGGCTGGAGCCGGAGTAACAAGATGGCGGCGTCGGCGGAGTGACAGGGGTCCCTCCGGGCGGGAGCCGGCGGCAGCGGTGGCAGCGGTATCGCCGCCCTAAACCACCGCGCCCCTTTTCCAGCCCGCGACGTCGCCGTGAAAGCGAGCCAGCAGCGGCCGCCCAAAAACAAGTGGCCCAGCCTCGTAACCGAGAGAACCCACTCACAAACTGCGGCCTGGCGAAAAGAAGCCTAATTGAGCGGCGGTGATCAGGTTCCTCTCGGCCGATTCTGGGCCCTGTAACGCCTTGAAAGAGCCAACGTTTCTCGTTTTCTGCCGCTCTCCTCCGCAGCCTTGTTCCGCGGACGAGCCCCTGAGGCCTCCGTCCTCCCCTCAGAGGTGTCGGGGCTTGGCCCCAGCCTCCATCTTCATCTCTCAGGATGGCGAGCAGCAGCGGCTCCAAGGCCGAATTCATTGTCGGAGGGAAATATAAACTGGTACGGAAGATCGGGTCTGGCTCCTTCGGGGACATTTATTTGGCGATCAACATTACCAACGGCGAGGTAATCACCCGGGGTGGGGTTCACGACCACGCTGCGCCAGTCCTCACCCCCCCTCCCCAATCCCCAAAGTGCTCGGGCTTTTCCCTATCACAGGCACGTACTGGGGAGGGGAGTCCAGAGAGGGAGCCAGTTTTCCTGGCTTTAGGAGCCTCCCCCGCTCTCCTTCCCTAAAAGGCAAAGAACCCGATAGAAGGGTTGGGAGAACCTGTGAAGTTTCCCAGCTTGTTAAAAATGTACCTTAATCGAACTTTTTAAGCTGTCGTTTAAGGCGAGATCGGCAAAATCGTATTTCTCTAATCCCCATGTTTTCCCCACTATATGGATTTATTCTACTGGGGTTCTTGCTTTCGATCGTCAGTTTCCTTCAAAACCTTTAATTACGTTTTCTGGATGAATCATTTTTCTGCACCTTCGAGGACGTGCCGATTTCGTCATTACCCCCTGAAGAGGCCTTTGAGGCTGGTTGCCTCGTTTTATAATTACAAAGAGAGCTTTCTCTTCTGAGCCTCTCACTTCACCTTCTAGTCTCGAGTTGGAGCTTTGCTAATGTCTCCCCTCCTCTCCCAAGTGACATTGAATCCTTAGGGATGTTGATGCCATCATCCCCTCTCTCCCCTGCAGGAAGTGGCAGTGAAGCTAGAATCTCAGAAGGCCAGGCATCCCCAGTTGCTGTACGAGAGCAAACTCTATAAGATTCTTCAAGGTGGGGTGGGCATCCCCCACATACGGTAAGACCCCGTGAGCAAACAGGCGGTGCGCCGAGGGAATCCCAGTACGGCCTGAGGGAAATGGGTAGAGGAAGGCAATAGCAGCAGCTGATTCTGGGCCTTGGTATCTGAGTTACCTGGGTTTACTATAGCCGGTGGTTTCCTGAGAACCGTAAGACACCACAGTCACTGAGTAAATTTTTAGTTTGCCAACTTCGTTTAGAATTTGTTACACTGCTCCATTTAGCTTCTCTCATTCTTCTCTCGAGGCTTTCATTTGCAGTTGTTAGGCGAGTCATCTTTGATCCCTACGCGGCTTCTCTGCTGCTTTCTTTACGCCGACACCTCTGATGTTCTTAGGTTTATCCAGTGAAGTGGATTTGAAGGTGCCAAGTGACCGGGTTCGGCCAGTTCGGGTTGCTATTGGAGTTGGCTTGGGAAATGGCTGCTCTTTTGTTGTGTTTTTGTTCCAACATGTCTTCCTCCTCCGCTTAGAAAATGGCGGAACGACGTGACTCAACCGCATATTCCTGCCCTTTCCTAGGCTTGGGTTCACAAGTTACTCTTCCTTGCTTCCCCCTTTAGCAGCTCTGAGTGGATTAAACCTTTGAAAAGCCAAGAATAAAGGTGGCGGGCGGCGGTGGGGTTCAAGGAAGGAGATGGCATAATGACAGTCTGTTTGTGATCCCTGCAGCAGATGCGACATGAAATGAAATTATACTGTGCAAAATCCCTCACAGTCCCTTTATAAGTGTTATTCTTTCATGAAGGGTAATGTCGGTTACATTTCAGCTTGTGTACTAAATTTTGTAATGGCAAAGGCAGTTTGACTACAGCTGTGTTGAAATTGACGTTGTATTAAAAAGAAAGATAAATCTCGTAACCACAGTGTGATGAGTAACTTTAACCTGTTGAGTTACTTGATCAGTAACTCCTCACATCAGGGAAATTGTGGCCTTTTGGGGGGATGGGATATTGGTGAAGGCAAACAGCAATAGTAATCAGGATAAAAGATGACCACATAAAGACATTGGATATTTTAAATGGTTAACTTTAAAGGTTGTGTTTGACTTTGAGATTAAAAAGCATCTTCCTGGAGTAGAGGCTAAAATGTAGTGTAAAGCCAAGCCATTTTTCAACACTCATAAATAACATTTGTAAAAAAGAACCAGAGACAGTTAAGAATTAAGTGGAGTGATAGTTATCGTAATTTCTTTTTCTATTCCAGTTTATATTCCTTAAATCTTTAATTACTGAATTGCATACGTTAATTCAGTTGTGGAGGCAACCCAAGTAATACTATCCTTAAAAAAATCTTCAGTGCTGATAGACATTTTTAATGGAGAAGTTGAATGATAAAATATTCTCTTGGTTGTGAGTGATAAATTATTTAGAAGAAACTTACAGGTTTATTTTATAAGGTAGATTAATGTGAAGTCCAAGATGATGGGAGATTTTAAATGATTCCTATCCACCCCCCCCCAAAAAAAACCTGCTGGGAAAATGAATGTTACTCTGGAAGAATGAAAAAAATTCCCCCCCCCAAAAAAAAAGTCTTTATTAAAATGTCTAGCTTTTTATTCTCTCAAAATAAAAAGGCTATTGCATTATCCAAAAATTTTAAAACGGCTTTCCTTTTGCCTTTAAACATATCTCTCCACCCCTGCCCCCCCGATTTGCTTTCCATACTGTAGTTTTTCCTAGAATTACACATAAATGCAATCATACAGTATGAGGTCATTTGTGTCTGACTTCTCTCACTTACCGTAATGCTTTTGAGATTCATCCATGTTGGGAGGTTTTAGAAATTTCACAAATCATGTTGAATTTAATGTATTAGAAATAATTTTCAAAAAGCATTAAGCATCTGGCATTTTCATTGCTAAACTCTTTTTATCTGGTAGCTTTTATTTAAAGGCGGTGCTGATACAGACCAACAAGAGCCATAGGTAATATACTGAATAAGCACATGAATAAATGAAATTAACTCGTGAGCGGAGTAACAGGCATCTGTTATAAGATGTTGAGTGCAGATAGTTGTAGTTATAAACTGTGGGTGGAGCTAAAGAGATTAACCTGGCTTTCAAATTAACGCTTCCTGGGAGAAGAGATGGGATTTCAGGATCCGGATGTAAGGAAGAAAGCTTGGTTGAACTGGTTGGGGAGGGCATCAAGAATACAGTGTGGCTTCTGGGAGTAGTCTCTAATCAGAAGGTAGTAATTGGATGAGGGTGGAGAAAGAGTAAATTTGTTTTAGGAGTGGTGGAGTCTGGTACATAGAAACAATGGTGGTTCATTGGTTGTAAAGTGTGAGAGAACTGTTTTTCTACTCAAGTGAAAAGGGTAAGAAAGACTTCGCATAAGCATTCTTTATTTGGGTGGCAACATCTTCCCATCCCCTCAGTTTGTTCCCCACTATTTCCACATCACCTATATATAGCATACAGGTAAATATTTGGTAAATATTGAACTATTTTGACTTTATTGAGATTAAATGAAGCAGTTTATGTGTTATTCATTGTTTTAGATGGATGTAAATATATTTAGATTTGGGATGCTTGGCTGGCTCAAGTTGGTAGAGCACGCAGCTCTTGATCTTGGGGTCATGAGTTCGAGCCCCATGTTGGGTGAAGAGATTACTTTTTAAAAGCAATTTGGATTTTGCTGTAATTACACTTAACTCCATCTTCTCCCCTGCACCCCAAACCCCTTGAATTTACTAAGGTACTTTCAGATATCCTAAAACAAGGGCCGAAAATGATCTAGCCAACATAGCCGACCTGACTAATTTTTACTTGGTAAGGGATCTATTGTTATGCAGAAGCATGGCATTCAGGGTACAGAGCGGAATGAGGGTGGCGTTTAGTCTCCCATGTTTTTAAGAAACTACGGTCATTCTTTAGTTAAGAAACTGAAATCGTTAATTGACTTCTGGAAGCTCATTAAAAATTACTATTTCTGTTACCATCTTCTCTATCTTTGTGGTACTCAATTTGAATCGAAATAACGTGATCTCTAAAGAAGCATTTATGATACCAAGCTCTAGGTCTATCATGTGGTATTGACAATGATCTTGGGTCAGTCAGTCCTTTAACCTCTTTGGGCCTATCAGTTAGTTTGCTCATCTGTGAAATGCAAAGAGGATTTTACCATGTTAATAATTTTCTAATTCTTCTGGAATAGGAAAGAAGAATACTGGACCGAAAGGTTTAGGGTTTCCTACTCTTCTAGAAAAAGTTTTTCGTACTGAGCTTTCAGGTAGGGTTTTATTTGAACAGAGTTCCCTATTTAAATAAGTCACCTGCCTCATTCATATCAGAACTTCTAGCTCTGAAAATTTGAGACTTCTTTTTGGATGATAGTAGCTAGAAAGCATTTCATCACAGTTTGATGTTAGGTCTAGATCTTATCTTTGACTCTTATTTTAGTACAGAGACCCCTCTCAAGACTTTAAAAATGCCATCTGCATCAGATAAACTATCAGTTACCATTTAAAAGGAAGTAAATTAATGGAATATATTTTTATAGGGAAATGAATAAAGAAGATGGGAGGGGCATGGGAGAATTGTTGCCTTGTTTTCAACCACTTTTTTGCCCTCTCTGAATGGCAAGTATTATAGAAGATAATAAAGTACTAGTTAATCCTTACTCTTCAGTGTTAAAAGCAGCTTAAATTTTAATCTTAGCTTTTTGGCACTGAGCATATATCTTGCAAATAAGTTCTAATGCTGTTATCAGAGAACAAAGATGACATCTGCACTGGCTACGTCTTTATTACAGATCACTGGGTGCATGAGAAATGTGATATTTAAATCATAGAAACTGAATCCCTATATATATATACACTAACATATACGTATATATCATATGCATACACAGCATACTAAAGATGCTTTATATCGGTTTATAATGGATTTCTAGTTGCGGAATAATGTAATGATGCTTAAGTAGCATTTGTGAGCTAAATGAAACCTGAATACAGCCTAATATCTCACAAATTAGACGGCTGAATCTCTGAAGGGTTACTGGAGTCTCCTAACTCCTCTAATTTTTCTGAGCCATTTTCACCTCTATGTCAAGGTCAGCGTGCCTGCTCACAAACCCCACACCTTTTCATTTGATGCTACAGAGCCATACTATGCCTCCTTCACTTCATGGCATTTGGCCTCATTCAGAAAAAGTGAAAAACTCTTCTATAAATGTAAGTAACTTTTTTTTTTTTTAAAGATTTTATTTATTTATTTGACAGGGAGAGACAGCGAGAGAGGGAACACAAGCGGAGGGGCGGGTAGGAGGAGAAGCAGGCTTCCCATTGAGCAGGGAGCCTGATGCGGGGTTCGATCCCAGGACCCTGGGATCATGACCTGAGCCGAAGGCAGACACATAACGACTGAGCCACCCAGGCACCCCTAAAAAGATCCATTTACTTTAGAGAGAGAGCAGGGAGGGGCAGAGGGAGAGAATGAGAATCCCAGTTAGACTCCCTGTTGAGTGGGAAGCCTAATGTGAGGCTCAATCTCAAAACCCCAAAGCCATGACCCGAGCTGAAACCAAGAGTCAGACACCTAACTGACTGAGCCACCCAGGTACCACCCCTTAATAGTTTTCAAAATATAAGTGAATACCTAGTTAAAATGAGGGTTTTTTTTTCTTTTAAGATTTTATTGATTTATTTATTTGACAGAGAGCGAGAGCAGAAATATTTTTTTTTAACGGGAGAGGGAGAAGCAGGCTTCCCACCGAGCAGGGAGCCTGGTGTGGGGCTCGATCCCAGGACCCTGGGACCATGGCCCAAGCCAAAGGCAGACGCTCAACTGACTGAGCCACCCAGGTGCCCCAGAATGATGGGTTTTGTTACTGTTTTTGTTTCTAAAACAATCTCAGGTAGCTCTTGAAATTTAAATGACCAGTAGTCACGTAACATGGATGTGTTTTAATGTTTTTTTTTTTTTTAAATGACATGTGATTTATATACAGTAAAATGCACAGCTTTGAATGTGTTTTTTTTTTTTTTTTGACAG